TATAAATTATTTACTAACTATCTATACAAATACTATATAAATATTCCACAGCCTCTTTTACGTCTATCCCTATCCCTAGTCACATTACCACTAATCATAAAAAAACTTCAGTCTAATTAAATACATTAAATGTGTAATTTTGACAAAAATAAATTAACGTAGATATGTTGTGATAAAAAAATTTCATATATTTTATAGAAAAAGACTACGGAGAATTTTCCAATGCGGTGGTCCTACTAGTTTGGTTTACTAGGTACGAAATCGCCGTCATCTTACATGTAAGACTATTTGGTAAGACTATTGAGAAGAAAATTTCTCAGAAGTCCTACAGAAACTGCTTACTTAATAGGGACAAATTCTTACTAGTAAGATTACTGGGAATTAAAAAGGGATCTGGTGTGATAGATTCGCTTACGCTGCAACGTTCTTTTTATTTAGGTTTTCATTTTTTTGCAGGTTACGTCATGGAAACAAACAGTTTCTCAAACAAGGATGTATCCTTGTTTTATAAATTCAACGCATTCAGTTTTTTTTTTTGTACTATAACTAAATTCTATGGGTGTAACTAATTTGAAATCTTCTCTATAACACTACTTAATTTATTGACGGTCTCAATTTTTCGGTTAATCTTATTACACACAACTTCGCATAAATATTTGTACTCCACGTTTCCTAGTGAAGAATTTTTTTATGCGTTTTTGTATTGATTTTTCACCATCAGCCGGCCACCAAAGCTTAAGGTTATGGTTTAAGTACTTTGGGTTGGCTCGACCGTGGAAGAACCATGTCGTCAAAGAATTCCAGAGTAAAATAGCAGCTTAATGCTGCTGTGTTTCATATGGCGAGTGTAGATAACTAGAGATTTCTATTACTGCTAACGCAGGATCTTATCTTAGCCCACAGGGATGACAACGTTTCTACATTTTGCTTATGTTATCTGTTGCACTGAGTGTTCATTCGTTATTCTTATTATATAAAAAATATGTGCAGTTCAAATGCGGTAAAAGTGAAACCTTATTTATATTTCACTAGCGATCCGGCCCGGCTTCGCTCAGGTGATATCTAGATTCCACAATAGCGCACAGAATACCAGCGTATAATAGTAGCTTAATGCTGCTGTGTTTCGTATGGTGAGTTTAGAGAACCGGAGACCCTTTTTACTGGAAATGAGGAATTCCAACTTAGTCCTCAGGTGTAACAACGCGTCTCATTTTGATTTTTAATCAAGAATAAATGTAGATTTCTACAGGCCACAGCAGCCACTTATCATCAGGTGGACTGTGTGCTCGTTCGTCACCCTATCCTATAAAAATATATTTCACTAGCGATCCGGCCCAGGTGAGCAAAGCCGGGCCGGATATATATCTGGATTCTACAATAGCGCAACTAACCGGATCCAATTATGCCTATAACCATAGTAGAATTGCAAGTAATATGTTGACAAAGTTTTATCGCAATCTGATGAAGGGTATGGCGGCGCATAAAATACGAAAAAACAAATATAATTTTTTTATATATTGTGTTAATAAAATTGTATTACTAATTCATTTTTTATTATTAATTTACTGAGTCCTAGAAAGAAGAAAATACTGAATACCATATTCTATCTCATTTTCTCACAGCCTTAATTGTATAGATGTATTATGTTTCTCTTTTAAGTGTCGCTTTTTCGTTTCATCGAGTTATAAATCACAACAATTCTATAGAAGTTTTCACTTTAAAAACTAACTACCTTCTAAAACCCTAAACCTAACTACCTGCCTAAACTTCCTACTAAACGTATAAAATTAAACGAAATTACTATTTTGCATCTTGAATATCCCAGTTAGGAGGACTGTAATGTCCAAGGTTCAAATTAGCGATCGGGTTTATTCTCAAAAGCTTGTTATAATAGACCACTAGTGCTCGTACGTATAGAACCTATTTATTCATGGTATATTATAGCAATAAATATCTTTTGATTTTATTTATAAAAAACTTTTAATAAACACCTCAATTCAACTAAACTTTTAGTAAAATCTAACCTTATTTAACTAAGTCTCTGATAGTTAATAATGTATCGAGGAGTTAAAGCACAAGCCAATCCGACTTCAGAAGCTATTTTGTGGAAATTCTTGTATTGTTTTTAGTACTCTAAAGTAGTTAAGTGTATTTATTAAGTAGTATTAGGTAAGTTTATTTTGAACATTTTGAATGGACGAATGAATATCACAATCTCTATAACATTAAGCTTAACTAGAATATCGTCACTTTTTTTCTATTTTTCCACCTTTTGGGATGAATTTTTCTTCAAATTTAAATGTGAAGTCACTCTTGAGATATAGTTTATATATGTACCGAGGACATCAATTTTGTCCACGTTTTGTGACCGCTGAGTACCGAGGACTTCATTTCATGGCCGCATTACGTGCTGCTATTTTCGTCATTAATTGATATAAAAATACAGTATATTTTCGATTGAACACTATTTCATTCGATTCTGAACGAACTAAAGAGTATTCTGAAGAATTATATACTCGGTTACATAGACAAAATCAAATATAACAGCCATTTGATTTTGCGCTGTTGATGCGGTTAGTTGCGTAATCGTTGAAATTTTGTGATTGTGATTTTAGTTGGATTTGCTTTCAAAAAACTGTAAGTAATGTTATTTATCTTTACTACGTAATGTTTTTGAATGATTTAAGTTACAACAACAGTAACTTTTTATGTTTCAATTGATAAAAAAGTAGAAATAAAAAACCTCTACGCGAACAATTCATAACGGTCAAGATTTCTAATAAGATTCTAATAAGATAATAATAGTATATTTCTTATTGGAATACCATAGTAAATACTTTTACTAGAAATAGCTAAATGTTATATTTATATGATTGTATATATAAAAATAGGAATATAAAATATACACACAAAAAGGTTTTAAAAATGAGTTTACAAAGCGCGCGAAAACTGTCTTTTGTCGAATTTTCAGCAAATGTTTGCAAGTGAAAAAGTAGAATTATTATAATTATTACATGTATAATTTCGGTTCAATTAGGAAGAATATTTTGTATTGATTGTAAGGACATAAAAATAAAATAAAAACTTATGATATTTCATTCACAAAATAAAATTTATGGTCAGTAAGTACACTTTATCAAGATCCGTTAGAAACAAAGAGCTGTACAAAATAAAATAAATATTTAAATGTTATGGTTATTGTTTCTACTTGTCGAAAATCTTATCGGCTTTAAATAACTATAACTAAAACCACTTTAAACATAAAGGAAAGGTTGTCAGAAACATAAATGTTTATAAGAAGTGCCGCCAGCTGAGGTGACGACAGAGGCCAGTACAAAGCTGTTTTTTGTTATGGCGGGCGCGGTTTGGAAAAGGTTAAAAAAAACCTTAATTATAACAGTTCGTAATTTACTTAGATATCGCGGTACATATATAATTTTTTCTATAGAATAAGAGTGACAAATGAGCACACAGTCCGCCTGATACTGTGGCCCATATACATCTACATTTATCCTCCATTAATTTAATTTATGGATGGTTTATTTAAAAAAAGCCGTAATTATATCAGTTCGTAATTTACTTAGATATCGCGTTACATACATAACTTATATATATATATATATATATATATATATATATATATATATATATATATATATATATATATATATATATATATATATATATAAACATATTGATTGTGTCTACACAGAGGCCGGGTTGGGTTTGAGGAGCCCACTTTGGATATGTGTTGTTGGGTTGCGGAGAAGGGTGCCCTTTCCCCCCTATCGCTGCAGTCGAGGTAATGTCGTGAAGGAAGATGTCCTATCCCCTGTGACTCTGACGGGACCGCACCGTTAATTGATTCGGTGGTGGTTGAGCTGCGTCGGAGAGGAGTGTCGGTATTGCGAGGCACCGCTCTCGCTACCCCCCGAAGTCAAATCTTGGTTAGAGGCGGAGCCATAGAAAAGATCCACCGCTGGGGTCAATAAGGCTTGCTTCTGAGTGATCGTTTTTCCTGGCCCCATGGCCCTCGTGGATCGGAAACGGGGGCGTCTGTTGCGCATGTGAAGTTGAAGGCTGTGGCGTAGAGCGCGAAATGTGTTCTGGTGAGCCTTACCTGAGAAGAAGATGGGGGAGGAATTGTGCTCTCCCAAGGAGGAACTGCCATGGGATGTACAGTGCTGTTCTTACATCTGTCTCACATTTATTAAGTATTTCTTGTCTATCAGCAGCAGACCAAACTACCGCACAGCCACATGGTCTGAACCTATGCTTCATACATTTTGTACCTTATGCACGTAAGTACCAAACTTTTTAAATAGTGAATTTTTTTTTCTTATTTTATACCGTGTGTATAATTTTTTGAGTTCAACTACTTCAAGGATTACATTTTTAATGAGAAAACTTAACATTTGTGTATTTTTCTGAATAAATCAAGGAGTAATTACGCCTTGAAAATACCGCGGCATTAGATGCTAAATATTTCAACCGGTTCCTTATTACAATGTATTCCGCGTAAATTTTCAGAGTTGTTTTCATGATTAAGCCCTCCCCGCTTTGGCTTCGCTTACTTAAAATGACAATGTATTTTAAAATTTATTTTCGAGGTATACTTTTGCGTTTCACTCATAAATTATAGCATGGCAAATGTGATCTATTTCGTTGTTTTGTTAATTCGAAGAAAAATTTAAGATCATACGCAATTCAATGTTATTTCTAATTAACTAAACTAAAATTTTTTATAATAAAGTATTAATCTATAAATAAATTATGTTAAGTCACGGTGTACATTTTTTAACACTAGGAATTTGGGAACGAGATTATTTGATATGAAAGGTCGAGATAAGTTTCTATGAGCACCTTATTCTTTGGCATATACATAAGCAAAATACAGAGTGTTCACAATTTGACGCAGCTTTCTATGAACTTTCTTTAAGTTTCTATAACGCGTAGGTTCCTATTACTTTTATAAAATAACTTTAAAATACTTAAGCGCATTATTCACTATCCATCTTGACCATGACGACGAAGGTGACGACGATGATGACGATGACGATGACGATGAGCATGACAATGATCATGACGATTACGATGACGATGACTATGACGATGACGATGACGATGATGATGACGGTGACGATGACCATGTAGATGACGATCACCATGTAGATGATGATGACGAGGACGATGATGATGACTATGACGATGACGTCATTGACATCGTTATCTTTGTCTTCATTGTCATCGTCATCGGCATCGTCATCGTCATCTCCATGGTCATCGTCACCATCATCATCATCGTCATCCTCATCATCATCGTCATCGCTATTATCATCGTCGTCGTCATCGTCATCATCATCGACATCGTCATCAAGATCGTCATCGTCATCGTCATTGTCATCGTCATTGTCATCTTCATCGTCATCGTCATCGACAACGTCATCTTCTTCGTCATCGTCATCGTCTTGCTCATGGTCATCATCATCGACATCGTTATCGTCATCATCATCGTCATCGTCGTCATCATCGTCATCATCATCGTCATCGTCATCGTCATCATCATCTACATGGTCATCGTCATAGTCATAGTTGTCATCATCGTCATCGTCATCGTCATAGTCATCGTCATTGTCATCGTCATCGTCATCGTCGTCGTCATCGTCATCATCATCGACATTGTCATCGTCATCATCATCTACATGGTCATCGTCATAGTTATCGCCATCATAATCGTCATCGTCATCATCATCGTCATCATCATCTAACATCGTCATCGTCATAGTCATAGTTATCGTCATTGTCATCGTCATCGTCATCGTCATCTTCATCGTCATCGTTATTCAAGGTGCCACCGTTCGACGGGACTTCTTCCTGGTCAGCCTACAAATTCCAGTTCGAGGCTGTTATGAAAGTGAACGGCTGGAATAAAAGTCAGGCCATGACTGCTCTCAGCAACTGCCTGCCTGCGCAACTAGGCCTTAACTGGTCTGGAAGCTCTCGGTAAGGAAGTGACTTATGAGCAGCTCCTTGAGGCATTGGAGGCGAGTTATGGCGACGCTCACCTAGAACACATCTTTCGTGCGCAGCTTAAAGATCGCGTGCAGCGCGTCAACGAAAACCTGCAGCAGTGGGCTCTAGAGGTAGAGAGATTGGTGCAAAAAGCATACCGGTCTGTACCTGCGCTCATTGAAGGGAACCTGATGCAGACATTCATCGACGGCATCCGCGACCTGGAAGTCAAAGCTGCTGTGAGACTCGGGCACCACGAGACGCTTAAGGACGCCTTGACCCATTCCCTGGAGGTGGAAGCTGTGCGGCAGGATCATCGTTCCCATCGCGTCAGGGAGGTTGCAGCAGCTACAGTTCGCAACCGCAACAAAGGATACAGCCCTAGGTGCTATGGCTGTGGGAAAAGGGGCCATCTTCGATCCAGCTGCCCTAAGCGCACTGTAGAAATGGAAGTTGATCGATCTCGAGGGGGTACTGCAGCTGACGGCACTGCCTGGCGGCGGCAGGATCATCGTTCCCCTCACGCTAGGGAGGTTGCATCAGTAACGGCTCGCGACCACGATAAAAATCACAGCCCAAGGTGCTACGGCTGTGGGGAAAGGGGCCACCTTGAAGGTGATCGATCTCGAGAGGGTTGTGCGGCTAACAGCACCACTAAGCAGCAGGAACACGACTTTGTGATTGAACACCGCTGCGGGAAATCGCATGGCAACGCAGATGCATTGTCCAGGAGACTTTGTCCTGAAGATTGTAAGCACTGTACTAGGCAAGAGAGTAAGGAAGTGGTATCCGTGAGCATGCTCAGGACAGACCACCTCAGCAATGAGTTGAAGGACAGCCTACGACATGCACAACAGGAAGATCCGGACATCAAGCCTATTCTGGAATGGATGAAGGCCCGTGCTACCAAGCCTAAGTGGAGCGACGTCTCTGCGATGAGTTCGAACTGTTCGAAATGTTCGGGGAGACAGCTGTCATTTGCAAATGGTCGTCCCTAAAGCTAAAGTACCGGATGTTCTACAGCTGTACCATAATGATTGTTCAAGAGCCCATCTGGGAGTTAAGCGAACTCTACTGAAGATCCGAGAACGGTTTTACTGGGTCCACTGTCGAAAAGATGTCGAGGACTGGTGTCGCAAATGTACAAGTTGTGCGGCTGTAAAGGGACCTAAGACTCGTAGTAGAGGTGTATTGAAGTTGTACAATGTTGGTGCACCATGGGAGAGAATAGCCATTGACGTAGCACGTACAAGTACATCAGTGACACCAGACTTTCGCCAACTTTGGAAGAGAATAACGGCAGCCTGCAGACCTGATCGTACCGGGATACCACCCGATGCCCCACGCAGTATAACCTATTATGTCAAATATTCAGAAACTGCGGATTATGAAAAAATGAATGACATTTATGAGCACGTCAGACAATCGGGGCAGCGAATGTCCGAAAAGACATGAAAACCCGGTATGACCGAAAAATTAACAACAAAGGGTTCGACGAAGGTTCACTAGTAACAAAAACGTGTTGTCATATCGAAGCGCTGTTCACGAAAGTAAATCACTGACACCAGCTTTCGCAAACTTTGGAAGAGAATAACGGCTGCCTGCAGACCTGATCACAGGGATACCACCTGATGCCCCACGCAGTATAACCGATTATGTAAATGAGTTGCGGAACAAAATGAATGACATTTATGAGCACGTCAGACAATCGGGGCAGCAAATGTCCGAAAAGATGAAAACCCGGTATGACCGAAAAATTAACAACAAAGGGTTTGACGAAGGTTCACTAGTGTGGTTGCACAATCCAGTCAAATCAACAAAAGACAAGTCAGCAAAGGGACATCTCCTAAGTTTCGGGCTAAATGGGACCAGGATCAACGATGTAACCTACCGGATACAGAAAGGGGCAAGAGGGACTTCTAAGATCGTCTATGTGGACTGCCTGGCGCGTTATTATGGGACCGATAATGCTCGGGACGAGCATGTCTTAGGAGGGGGCAGTATTGCGCGCCTAAGTTGACGTCTGGCACTAGCGCCATCTAGTGTCGGGTAACAGAGCGAGGAGAGCTTTCCAGAAAATGACATGACTAATCTTTCAACCAACAGCGCCATCTAGTATCGAATTGAAGAACTAAGCTTTCTAGAAGCCCCCACACTCGAACTTTCGGCGCCTGGTCAGTTGGCGCGCGTATTTACTTGAATATTCTGGATGTTTCGGTGAAAAAGTGTATTTAAACCCGCTGCTTGCCACGATCGAAGCAGTATTGAATTTGGCGAGACAAACGAAGCTTCGGGGCGAAATAAAGTGAATCAGTGTGATTAATTATTAGTGTCTTGTAGGTTTTTTATTAGTGTAAAGTGAATTAAAGTGTAAATTTTGGTAATTCAATCGGCAATTTTTATTGTCACGAACCTCAAGATCGTAACAGTATAAAAGTATCCACCATTTATCGCCCCGTTGCTGTTGTAAGAGACGACAAAGGGAAACTGAAATAGGAGATGGGTACCTTCTTGATAACAATTCAAAATAATAAAATACTGCGGTTGCCAACTGCCAGCCAAGCATGGCGACTTTGGCAAAATCCCACCTATGTACATCAATGGAATTTTGCAGTCTGTAGTGAATGGATAAATCGATAGATAAGTGTGACAAGTTTATAAAGTTATAAAGAAAAAGTTTATAGTAGTTTATAGTTATAAAGGAAAACTTATCTATATCTTTCTTTATAAACTTTTCGTACTTATCTGTACATTTATCCATCCACTACAGCCTGCAAAAGTCCATTGATGTACAATAGATCTCACTATATATTGCTTGGCTGGCAGTCGGCAACCGCAGTATTTTATTATTTTGAATTGTTATCAAGAAGATACTGCTGCCCATCTTCTGTTTCAGTTTCCCTTTGTCGCCTCTTACGACAGCAACGGGGCGATAGATGGTGGATACTTTTACACCGTCGCTATACGGATTTTGTATTCGAACGTAAAAGCAGCGCCTGGGAGTAGAAAATGTGTGAAACACGATCGCCAATCCGCTTTATAAGAATAACGATATATACATCGAAATATATACTATCGCCATAATCTGCAGTAGCCTTGTTTTGAGCTGAAACGACGAAACAAAAATTTTATTTAAAGAAGAAATATCAGTAAGGTAGTGTGACATTTAAAACTTTAATCATGTTGTTGTTGTCAGGATGTTGGTTATTTGCAAAAGGATAGCTAGTTGGACTCTCGGGAGCGATAACATCGAAGTTAAGTCTCTCCGTGAGATCTCTAATAATTCCGTTAGGATTGTTAACGTTAGAATTCCAGCTAACGTGTTTACTATTTCGGTCTCCCGCGACGCTAGGGCCTAGATTTAATAGAGCCGATATGTCGGAATCTAATATACTTTTTAAGGGAGACAGGTATGCTGATGCAATTATTATTGGCGGATGGCCCGTAAGTGCTTTCCTACAGACCGACGCTTCTAAGTTAGTAAGCGGCGGAGTATCTATCGGTACACATTGCAAGGACATTTTGTAGTAGATCAAGGTGCCGCCTTTAGGTCCGTTCAGCCTATCATTTCTTACTAAGTTATAATTGGCTATTTTGGGATCGCTCAAACTAGGTTTCAAGAAGGTTTCTTGCAATAGCATGATGTCGATATCATGGTCGCGTAAAAAATATATGATCTCTTCCTTTTGATCTCTGATACCGTTTGCATTAAAGAACGCGACAGTCAAAGACCTAGGCTTGGTTCTACCTATAGGTCGTATTTCCATTTTGGTTATAAAAGGAAGAAAAAATTGGTTTAGGCGCACTGGAACGAACCTATCGCTTGGATAAGACTGATATGCTCAATGATAGCATTGAGCCTATCTTGAATAGAATTGGCTTCGCGAAGTTTGCGGGCTAAGGTTGTGGCTTCGGCCAAATTAATATTGCTGGTGAAGTTGAACACTAACGAGAGGTCAGTGTCAATGTTTGCTACGCGGCGCTTTGGTACACCCGCGATAGCTCGCTGGGTGTCCCTCTTCGCCGCACAAAACACAGGACGGAGGGACCTCCGACTCGGGCGTTCGGAGGCAGTCGGGTGTGCCGTGATCACCTAGGCACTTAACGCACCTAGGCCGGGCGAAACAATTTCTGGCCGAGTGGCCGTAAATTGGCATCGTTGGCCAATGCCACCGATGCCCCTATTGCGCGGGGACTCTACTACAATCCCTGTGAGATTGCAGATCCGGGTGATATTGAATATTTCTTTGCTCTCCGGAGGCAGGTCCAATATTATAAGGCAAAGACCTAGGTACCGTTTTTTGTCGGTGGCGTGGTGCATCCTGTGCACTTCTCGGACTGGTAAGTTTTGCGATTTAAGATCGCTTAAGATGTGCTCAGTTTCGAGCTCTTTAGGGAGTTCGCGAATTAAAACACGGAGGTTACGGTCCTCCGCGAGGGATGTGTGAAGTGTGGGATGTGTTGAAGCGAGGGGTATGTGTGAAAGCTCAGATTTTTAGCTTTTAAATACGCGTTTATAGCGCGAAAATCGTCCGTCGTTGCGACGTGGATACGAATGCCCTGCGGCCCATTGTGGACTTTGGGGCAGAAGATCTTTTTTGAGTCTATCTAATTCGATAGGTTGCTCCAGCGTGATTTATCCTGCATAATTATTGAAGGTGGCGGCTTCTCCTTCCTTACTACGGCCGGAGTCGAGTTGGCGGCTTTGTTCGCGGTCCTATTGCGCGCGGAAGGCGCGACTTTTTTAGCCGGAGTGGCGTTGGGC